CCCCGGGGGGTGCCCCTTTCCTGCGGGACCCCGCCAGTGCCGCACACGCCGTCCCGAGATGACGGCCAGCAAGCGAGTAGCTAAGGTAACCGCTTGGGGAGACCCCTTTCTTGCGCCTCCCTGGGTTCCCCACTCCTTCCTCCGTCCATTCCCTCCCGGCGCGTTTATTTATTGTCTGAGCACCAGGTCTGCCCTCGCCGCTTCCCTGGGAGAGGAGAGGGTCTGGGAGAGGAGCCAGAGCCGGAGTTTCCGGGGTGGGCAATGGGGGCGCAGGGGGCGCTGGCGCTTGATCAGGAAGGGTCGAGGAGCGCTGAGGGCGAGACTGGTTTCAGTTTCACTTCTGCGGGAAACTTGTCAACATTGAGCGCATCTCAGGGGCAGAGAAGGGGTCCTTGGCGTCGTCCTGGTGCCAGGCGCCCTGCTCCTGCCGTGGGTGGTTCTGAGGGGGATAACCAGACAAGGCCTTGCCCTGGAGTAGCCCATGGCCCGTGCCGAGGTTTATACCTACATTCGTGGAGTCCTGAGAAGCTGGGGTGCCCATTAGGATTGGGGGCAGAGTTCCCCAGGTAGTCCCTGAAGGGAATGATACTCAGGAGACCTGGAGGCCTTGCACTGTCCTTCTGCAGCCGTGAAGGCCTACCGCAGGCCCCTTCTAGGAGGCAGTCGGCCGAGAGGAACAAAAATTTGGCTGTTCTGGAGTTTGTCCTGTCAGGGACCCAGTATGTCATAAGATCTGGAAGGATGACGAGCGGACAGTTTTTCCCAAGAGGCAGGAACACCCAGGGCTTTTGGAGAACTTGGTGTAGCAGGATTGGAGATGGATGGGAGGGAGGGCGGTCCTGGAGGACCTGGAACCCTCTGTGTCTAGTCTCAGAAATGCCCCTTGTCTGCACAGTGGAGGGGCAGGTTGAGGGAACAAAGGCAGAGTGCCCTGTCCTGAGCCAATGAGATGGAAATGCTCTGAGACTAGGGCACCCAGAGCAGAAATCGAGGTTGGCAGCGAAATGGGGCAGAAGGTCTTTCCAACCAAGTAGGAGAGGGATGGGCGCCGGTATTTATCACACTGGCACCATTGAATGCCAGGAGGCTTACATCCCCAAGTTTCCCAGGTAAGTAGTATACGCCGCCCCCTTTACAGATGAGGAAACCGAGGCTCAGAGAGAATAACTCAGTGTTCCGGGGTTGTCCATGCGGGAGAGATGGAGCTGAGATTTGAGCCCAAGCCCATGGCGCTCCAACCCGCAGACCCCTTCATGGCTTCTCTACTTTCATTTCCTCTTCCTCTAAGTCGGATGATTTCCTAACAGGCCTTAGGGAAGCGCTGTGTGTCCTAGCTCGGGTTTCGGCCCCCTCAGGCTTTGGGACAGTTTTGGTAGAACTCACCTGGAGTGGATGAAACCCAAATGTTCCTAGTCACAGGACAATCAGGAAAAATGTTTATTCCAAATCCTGTCTGTTCATCTGTGACCTCATTCTTGCTGGAGAGTCACAGGTGAGACTGAAAACAGGCCTTCCCGTAGCAGATGCTGCTAACCTGGGTAAAAGGTGAGTGAGGGTCATAGACTCCGGGCAGAAGGCACAAGAAGCAGTTTGCTGGTATGAGCAGAGCTAGAATACCTCTGAGAGATGGATGGGGGCCGACTGGGAGATGTTTATATGTTGGGGGGCTGAGAAAGTTCAGAGGATCCACGAGACCCCTTCCCAACTGTAGTCTGGGTTTGGGGAGCTTTCTCTTTGCCTTTGTTTACACAGGGGTTTCTCAACCTTGTTACTATTTTTTTCAAGAATTATTTTATTGGGGCCAGCAAGTGGCATGGTGGCTAAGGGTACCGGACTCTCACATGGCCGACCGTGGTTCTAGTCCCGGACCTGGTGACTTGCTTTCTCACTTTCCCTCTCTCTCTTGCTCTGTCTCTCTCTGGTCAAATAAATACATAAATAAATCATTTTTTAAATTACTTATTTAAATTTGACCAGAGAGAGAGAGAGAGAGAGAGAAAGTGAGAAAGCCAGGTCTGGGGCTTGAACTGCGGTCAGCCATGTGGGAGTCCAGTGCCCCCAACCTCCATACCACCTGCCAGCCCTCCTTGTCACTATTGACATTTGGGATCAGTTTGTTCTTTCTCAGATGTTTACCAGCTTCTCTGTCCTCTGCCCATGAGCTCCTAGTGACACTGCCCCATGTGTCACAGCACACGTTTCTAGACATTGCCACATGTCCCCTGTGGGACACCCCCTGGCTTACACTCATTCAGTGTTCCAAAGGAGACCTCCTTCCTTGGGTGTCTTATCTTATACCCCCTTCTCCAAAACAGAGCTGCTCCCACAGGATGGACCCCAAAAGTGGGATAGTGTTCCTTGGGAAACACTGGAGCCCTGCCTGCTGCGGGTTCCCATCTGGAAGAGTTACGGTACACAGGAGCATGGTAAAGGCTCCGGGAAGTCCTGCGGTGAAGAAAGCTGGTTAGCCTAGTTTTCTGGAATGTACTTGACCATGGAACCCTTTCCCTGCGATAACTATTACCCGTCCAAGGGACACACAGCATGCACTTGCCCTGTCTGGGCCTCTGCTGTGTGCCTCCCCCTTTCTCTATGTGGCGAACTCCTATTTATTCTGCATGGCCCAGCTCTCAGTATGCACCTTTATGGAGCCTCTGCTTCCCTCTCCCCTCCTTCCCTAGTATATTGGGTTGTCGGCAAAGTCATGATGTGTTTTTGCATAGAAAAACATAGAGAAGTACATCATGATTTTCCTGACAAGCTAATATATCTACACGTGTTACTCACCTACTCACGGTCCTGTTTCCTCCATTGCCCCAGTGAAGTTCTTGAGGCTGGACCCTGTCTTAGTCAGGTGTCATAGAGGACACTCATAAACATGGGAGAATTTAGTGAGGTCCACGTGATGGCTGCATTTCTAGGAAGGCGGGCCACTCCTTGTCCCCTGGTTTCTGTTTGCTGTGTAGTGTTCTCACCATGGTCTGCCCAGTTACCCCCAACCCAGGAGAGTTTGAAGGGATAGGTGATATCGTTACTGTCCGCTCTGCCGTGTAGATATTGTTGCTCTGGACACTCAGCAGATGCGGATGGGAAGAAGGGATGGAAAGAAGGGGGAAGGGAATAGACCTGCGTCCGTCTAGGGAGGGGATGAAGAGGACAGAGTCAACTACTTTGTTTTCCGGAGAAAAGGCTCCTGGGAGAGTTATTCTAGTCTGTTGTATTCTAGTTCTGTTGTCAATAACAGAAAATACTAGACCTGGGTAGGTAGAGAGATTGGAGTTTGTTCCATTTGCAGTCGGCAGGTCTAAGGTCCAGAGGCTGCATCTGGCGAGAACGTCCTTGCTCACAAGTCACGTGGCCAGTCAGAGCGGAGCAGGAGCCTGAGGGTGTGTCCCTGTCTCGCTCTGTCTTGTTCCATCTCCATAGAAACCCATTAGGCTTCAGTTATGGGGCCTGATCTGTATTACCTTAATCCTAATCTCCTCCACCTTCCAACCCCACAGTCGGATTTCCCATCACAGACAAATCTCAACACATGATTTTTGGGGGACGCATTCACAGAATCGCAAGAGTTTACTCCCAACCTTTTTTTTTTTTGAGAGAGATTTTCACTACAGGGCGCTTGCACTCACCAGACAGAGAGAGAGACATTAGAGACAGAAAGCGAGAAATCACCCCCCAGGGGGGATGGTCACGCTGCAATCCCTTCTCCTCCATTCTCCTCTCGGGATCTTGGGCACGCACGCACACGCGCCCGGCGTGAGTTTTAAGCCACCGGGTCCGGGACATGAACCGCAGCCGACTACATGGGAGTCTAGCGACATAGCCATTACGTTAACTGCTGGTTCCCACTCCCAACCTTTAAGATCTGAGAGAAACAATCTTCATCTCCCTACACCTAGCTCGTACCTAAATGGGAGAATTCAGTTAAAGCACCCGGCCCTGGTGCCTGACACATCCTAAATGCTCGATACCTGGAGACCGAGGGTGCCAGATTCTGCTCCTAGGACACCCTGTTTTGGATGTGGGACAGCTTGTTGCTGGGGCGGGAGAGGAGCCGAAGAAGGAAGGGTTAGGCCGACTGCTCACTCCCTGTGCCCCCTACAGGAGCTGGAGGACCTTCAGAAGGAGACTCCCCCGTATCTGCGGAACCTATTCAGCGATGATGCCAATGTCCTCGTGTGGCATGCCCTCCTCCTGCCTGTGAGTTCCGTGGGGATCATGGTCTCGGACTGTGGATGACTTGGGCTGGGGGCTTGACAGGGAGGGTTAGGAGGGGGCAAGAATTTGCCTGTCTTAGAGTCCTTTTACTGGAGGTTATCACTGGTGGAGGTGATCTAGCTCTGGATCGATTGCTTCTGAGATCCAGGCAGACTGATGAAGACGCTGAACAACTTTTGGGTTTAGTAGACCTAGTCCTCAAACAGGTGCCACCAAGCCCACCACAGAAGCTTCAGCAGACAAATAGCTCAAAAAGAAGAGGCCCAGCTGCAGTGATGAAGGCAGAGAGCACTAGGCCTGGTAGCTGAGGCTGCATGTGTGGCTTGGGTTCAGTTCCCCACCTGACTTAAATAGGCCAGGTGCAGTTCCACATGCCTGTGGTCCTGCCTGACCAGGAGGCTGGGAGGGAAGGATCAGAACTTGGTGAGACTCTATCAAAAATGCCTCTTTCTGGGGCCAGCAGGTGGCATATGGTTAAGGCACTGGACTCGCACATGGTCGACCACAGTTCGAGTCCCAGACCTGGTAGTTTGAAATTCACTTGGGCCAGGCACATGTGCATGCATGCCCGAAATCCTGAGAGGAGAGTGGAAGAGAAGGGATTGCGGCATGGCCATCCCCCTCAGGGGTTGATTTCTCTCCCTCTCTGTCTCTTTCTGTCTGTTCTGTGAGCACACATGTTCGATAGCAAAAGTCTCTAAAACAAATTTTAAAAGCCTTTCTCCCTCTCACTTCTGCTTGCTCGTTAAAATAACAAAATAAAGAAAAGAAATGAAGATCACCTGGATCTTTGTCAAAGGGTATGCCCAGGTTCCTACAGGTGGTAGAATTTGTCCTGCATAACCTCACGTGTATTCGTTTTCTTCTAAAGGTCTTATTTTATAAAATTATCATCAGGCACGACCACAGAGGTAGCTCATCTGTACTGTTCTCATCTTTCTCTGTTTATTATTTGATATCACTTAGATGCAATCTCCTTTTGGAGAGACAGAGAGACAGAAAGCAAGAAATCCAGTGGGTTGGAAGACAGGTGAAAGGAGATCACGGTGTGACCAGACCTGGAGTGTGTGTCTCTCTCCCCCTTACTCTCCTACGTGTGCACATGTACTTTATTGTGAATAAAGGGAGAAAAGAGACCATGATCTAGTCTCCACTTGCATAATTCTCAGAAAAACTTAAACTGAAATGGTTCATCTAGTTAAATTTTACCTATTTCTTTAATTGCCAAAGGTCACTAATACGAGAGAGAGAGCGAGCGAGCGAGAGAACGAGAAAGCATGAAAGCACCCTCTAGTGGTGTGTGGTCACACTGCAATTATTTTTCCTCCATTTCTCCATCCTGTCAGGATTTGGGGCATGCACACACATGTGCCTGGTGTATTTTTCAAGCCACCTCAGCTGGGATTCAAACCGAGTTTGGCCGTGTGGAATTAGGCTCCCTTAACCACTGCACTGTGGGGCTGGCCCAAATTTTACCTACTTTTTGAATGAGGAAATTGAGGTCCAGAGATGGGAGGTGCCTTGCCCTTAGCAAAAGCCAGGATCAGACTTTCCTGACTGCCAGGCCAGTCCTTGCCTGTAAGTTCTCCCTTGCAGTAAGTAATTCATGGCTCAATCACCAATGAATGCAGGTGCCCTCCGTATCCCTGCTCATGGCTCCACCTGGGACTGAGGCAGAGGTTGCCGGGACCCTGGGATGGGGCAGGGGAAGGACAACCAGACCAAGTCCCTAGGGAGAAAAGGATCTTTTCAGAGCAGCCATGCCTCAGAGCAGAACTTGACCCCTTCTCTCTGCACAGGACCAACCTCCCTACCACCTGAAGGCCTTCAACCTGCGCATCAGCTTCCCTGAGGAGTATCCATTCAAGCCCCCCACGGTAAAATTCACAACCAAGATCTACCACCCCAACGTGGATGAGAACGGGCAGGTCTGCCTGCCCATCATCAGCAATCAGAACTGGAAGCCTTGTACCAGGACCCACCAAGGTGGGGCTGGGCTTTGTCTAGGGGAAGGGCTGATGCTGGGTGAGGGCTGACAGCCTTATTCTGAGTTAGATTGCCCCAAAGAGAGGAGACAAAAGTTATGAGTCTGGGGAACCAGCAGTTAGTGTAATGGCTATGTCACTGGACTCCCACGTAGTCAACCACAGTTCACGTCCCGGACCCGGTGGCTTAAAACTCACGCTGGGCGCGTGTGCGTGCGTGCCCAAGATCCCGAGAGGAGAAGGAGGAGAAGGGATTGCAGCGTGACCATCCCCCCTGGGGGATGATTTCTCGCTCTCTGTCTCTATGTCTCTCTCTGTCTGTCTGGCAAGCGCACGCACCCTATAGCGAAAACCTCTCAAAAAAAAAAAAAGTTATGAGTCTGGGGGCTGGCAGGTATAGTGGGGGTTAGGGTGCTGGATTACCACATGGCTGACTATGGTTTGAGTCCTGGACCCGGCAGATTGCTTTCTCAACTTTCCCTCTTTTTCTGGTTAAAATTAAAAAGAAATAATAAATAATAAAATAAAATAAGTAATCCTCTAAAATAAAAAGCTGTGGGTCTCAGCTGAACCCACTGTAGGACAGAAGGGATACTTCCTGAGACCCTGGATGGGCCCGCCTGTTCCTTCCTTTTCCTAGGCAAGAGGTTTGCTGTGCTTGGTGGGAAAGAGGCAGCTTGGCTGAGGGGGAAGGGCTTGGGATAAAAAGGCCACTCTTTCATCTGTGGACTTTGGGCAAGCCCTTGTTCCTTTTGGAGATGCAGGGGATCGATCTAATAATGATAATGCCCACCACTTAATGGAATCCTTTCAGCACTGTGCTAAAAGCATTGTATGCCAACTTCATTGACTCCCCAGGCAAGACCCTGAGGTAGGGCTGTCATTAGCCCTATTTAATACATGGGGACACTGAGTGTATGCACCGTGAAATGGTTGCCTCAGGTCACACAGCTGGCAAGTGACCCAGCCTGCTTGACCGTAGAGCAGTATTTTTTGTTCAGAGAGTTGTTTTTTTAATTTTTTTTAGAATTATTTATTTAATTTTATTTGTTAATTTATTTATTTTAATTTGAACAGAAGGAGACAGAGAAAGAGAGAAAGCAAGCCACCAAGTCTGGGACTCAAACCATGGTTGGCCATGTGGGAGTGTCCAGCGCCTTACCACCACGCCACCTGCTGATGCCCTGAAGGCTTTTGTTTTTGTTTTTGTTTTGCAGTTTACAGAGCATTATTTTTTAATTCAAGAAAATTTTTTTGAGTTGTATTTTTTGATCTTTTTAATTTTTCTTTTATTGTTATTATTATTTATACATTCAATCACTATACATCATTTAGCTTGTAAAGAGACTTTACCCCCCAGCATGATATGTTTTTTTTTTTTTTTTTCTATAGGACACGTGGGCTTGACAAGAGAGGAGAGAGACAGAAAACGAGAAATCACTCCCCAGAGGGGATGGCCATGCCACAGTCCGCTCTCCTTCATTCTCCTCTCAGGATTTTGGGCACGCACACACACGCACCCTGCATAAGTTTTAAGCTGCCGGGTCTGAAACTTGAACCGCACTGGACTATGAGGGAGTCCAGAGACATAGCCATTACGCCATCTGCTGGTCCTTCTACCGTGATGGAAATGTTCTGTAGCTGCACTGTCCAGTATTATTGTCACTAGCCATATGTGTGACAGACGAATGGAATTCATGATTACATTTAATGTTAATTTAAATTTAGATGACCACATGGCCAGTGGCCGTAACAGTAGTTGGCATGGCCTATGAGCTCAATCAGTGTGCTGTCCTGTGTCTGGGCCAGCTCAGGAGTTCTTTTGTTGTTGTTTTTTTTTTTTTTAGAGAGGTTTTCGCTGTAGGGCGCATGTTCTCTCCAGACAAACAGAGAGAGACATAGAGACAGAAAGCGAGAAATCACCCCCCAGAGGGGATGGTCATGCCACAATCCCTTCTCCTCCATTCTCCTCTCGGGATCTTGGGCACGCACACACACGCACCCGGCATGAGTTTTAAGCCACCGGGTCCAGGACGTGAACCGCGGTTGACTACGTGGGAGTCCAGCGACATAGCCGTTACTCTAACTGCTGGTTCCCAGCTCAGGAGTTCTTAACCCAGAAAACAAGGGTCCTTGGGGTTGATGGGGGGGTTTAATCAGCTTCAGAGGTCAGCATGTTTGTGTTTAAGCCTATGTGTGTGTGCCCAGGGAGATGGTTCCCAGAGGCCCCTGTGAAACAGTAAAAGCCATGTGGCAGTAGTGGTTTTCAGTCTTTAGACTTAGGACCCCTTTTCTCAAATAAAAAAATGATTTGAAATTCCAGTATAGCAGAAAAACAGAGTGGTTCTCGTCCAAAATATGAGTGAGACCAGAAACCCCACTTATCTCAGTGAGCCCCACAGTGAGAAGCTTCTCTGACGCCATGGAGGATCACCATTTGAAAGCCACTGCCATGACCAGTTCAGGCTTTGGGATGATCCGTCATGACCCAGAGGGACCCTGGATTTGGTTGTAGAGTCATCCTAAGAGATGGGGTTTCCTGGGGAGCGGATGTGGCATTTCAGGGGACTCTGGGAGTGTGCAGCCATTGTCTCTGTCCCGGGCTTTCTCCTCTGCCTTGACATCCTGATCCACCCTCTCTCCCCAGTCTTGGAGGCCCTCAACGTGCTGGTGAACAGACCGAATCTGGGGGAGCCCCTGCGGGTGGAACTCGCCGACCTGCTAACACAGAACCCGGAGCTGTTTAGAAGGAATGCTGAAGAGTTCACCCTCCGATTTGGAGTGGACCGGCCCTGCTAACTTTGTGTCTGACCCCTCTCTGTACTGGATCCTCTGCACGGTGGATGGACGCACCTCATGGACTGGGGCCGGAGCCCCTCTATGGCCCATCTCTGCCCATTCTTTTCTTCTTGGTGGCTAGTTGTTCGTGTGTGTGTGGTAAGGGGAGGGTTCTGCGGGTGTGTGTGTGTGGTACATGAACTCACTCCTGCGTCACCTGGCCACAGGTGTGTCCTTCCTACTCCCCCGGCCCCCCAGATCCGAGGTGTGTATGTTTACAGAGTGACAGGCTGGTTCTCCAGCTCTCCATCTTACAAAGACAGCTCACTTTCCAGGCCAGCTTGCAGGAAATGAGCCCAGCAGCCAACAGAACCCCCCCTAGGGCCCAGGCACCGAGGCCAGGGGACCAAGTTGGAGGAGTGGAGAATATGGCTGGGAGACAGGGCGCATCGAGTGGTGTCACTTATGACTGAGCGATTGAAATCTGCCCAACTGTTGATAGGCCTGTACAGGTTTAGGTACTGACCTTTTATTTTCTATCAATGAATCACAAAATAAAGAGTCTAACCTCCATCCCGGAAATATGACATGTTTCAAAACCACTTGCATCCTTTGAGGTTGCCCATTCCTGGGGGCCAGGCCTCAGGCTGGGAGCCATGTGGCCTCCAGCATTCAGTCCAGGAGGAGCCACAGAAACCACTCACTTGTTTACCATTAAAGTCACAGATCAGTCCCGGAGTTTGAGTATTGAATAAGGGGCTGGGTTGGTTTCGTCAGGACCAGAGAAGGTGGGGATTTAGCTGCTGGCAAATAAAAGGTGTGACCCTGCTGCCCATAGGCACTCCTCAAACCTTGTGGGGGACTGTTGACCATGAGGGAATAGAGCCTCAGAGGGGTAACATCCCCATTTTATAGAGGAGGCAACTGAGGCACAGAGCACTGAAGCGAATTGCTTAGTCCACACTGCCAGTCAGAGCGGAGCAGACACCTGCCCCTGTGCTAACTTAGCTTGGGCTTTTTTTTTTTTTTTTTCATGAACTAGTTTATTAGCACACATGGTCTCAATGGCTAATAAAGCCCCAGCAGGAAGTTATCCTTAGCTCAGAGGTTCATCTCTATTGAACAATGGGAAACAAAGCAAACTACAACTTAACCAAAGTCGGGGGGATTCGCTAACCCTGAAGGGATAACTTTCTAGTGGCAGATGTAAGCGACCGGGAAACCAGAATGTATGTCTGCGAGTCAAGGCAGTCACCCCTCATCCCACTCGCCCAGTTTGGGTGTGATTTCTTGAGACTCTTCTACTCTAGCCTCTGTCCCGGATGGAGGAGTGTGGCAGGAGAGGACGAGAACTGGGAAAAGTGCCACCCCTGGTTCCAGTGTAAGTTTGTGTTTTATTTCTGGCCACCACTCACTGAATGCTCAGGTGACATACTGGGCAAGGCCTTTTGCCCACTTCTTGTCTCATTTAACCCTCACGACACCTCCGTGAGGGTGGTGCTCCCATTATCCCCTTTCAGGCTGCAAACAGACGCGGAGAGGTTAACTCACTGGCCCAAGGTCACACAGGGAGTTAATGGGACCCGGACTGTCGCTCTTTCCCAGACACCTTGCACAATTATTGAGAGAATTGCGTCAGGCAAGGAAACCTCTGTAGCCGGGGTTTATTATCCCAGAGTTCAGAGGTTCCTGGCAGGGGTGTGGGCAGTAGGGAGAGAGCACAGAGGGCCCAGAGAGATTTTACGAAAGTCCTTTTAATGCAGTGAAGACGTGCCCTGCCGCGGCTGCCAGCTGGGCACCCTGCCTCCTGCCCACCCCCCGCCTGCAAGGCCAGTCAGCGTCTCATTTCTTCTTGGTCTTCACCAGTCCTTTCTGCACGAGGCTGCGGTACAGCTCCTGGATGTAGGTGTAGACGCACTTGGAGTCGGGCACTGCCAGCCGCACCATGTCGTCTACCTCCAGCAGCTGGGCACAGTCAGCCAGTTTCCTGGGGGGGGCCGGGGCGGGGAGAAGCAGAGGGCCAAAGGTGAAGGACATGGGAGACAGGCAGATGGGCGAGAGCCCAGCAAGGGTGAGGTCCCTAGAATCATGTCTACTGGAGCTGAGGGATCAGCTGGGCTGACCATCCCATTGTACGGATGAAATAACTAAGGCCCTAACTAAGGTAAGACTCAGACCCAGCCGCTCTGATTCTAAAGCCCATGTTTTTGTTCTTGCTTTTGTTTTTTAGAGAGATTTTTGCTATAGGATATATGCATTCACCAGAGAGAGACAGAGACAGAAAGTGAGAAATCACTGCCCAGGGGGGATTCCCATGCCACAATCCCTTCTCCTCCATTCTCCTCTCGGGAACTTGGGCACGCATGCACATGCACCCGGCGTGAGTTTTAAGCTGCCAGGTCTAAGACTGGGACCACAGTCGACCACTTTGGAATTCAGCAACATAACCATGACACCATCTGTTGGTTCCCTAAAGCCCGTGTTTCAGTATACCATGAGTCCCCGCATTGTCACATGGGAGCAGAGCCCTGTGGCTCTAGGCTACTTTTACCTCCCCTTTCACGTGCAGTTATGTCTGTCCTCTGGAACCAGGGAACTCTTGGCAGGCCAGGTCCCTCGGGAAGAATTAACAGGAGAGAAACCAAATCGCAGGCAGAGTGCTGGCTTGCAGCAGCAGCAGCAGCAGCAGCTCCAAGAGCTTCATTCATCCTGTTTCCATGTGTCTATCCAGAGCCCACTATGTGCCAGGTGCTCTTCTACATTCCGGGAGTTCGGCAGTGAACAAAACCAAACCTCCCCACTCTCATGGCACTGGTGTACTGTGGCAGAAGACGGACAGTAACCACACACATGAAGTGTTATAGATGGCGCATCGGAGGATGAGAGGTGCCGTGGAGAAAAGTGAGGCAGTTGGGAACCAGCAGTTAGCATAATGGCTATGTCGCTGGACTCCCACGTAGTTGACCGCAGTTCGTGTCCCAGACCCGGTGGCTTGAAACTCACGCCGGGTGCGTGTGCGTGCGTGCCCAAGATCCTGAGAGGAGAATGGAGGAGAAGGGATTGCGGCGTGGCCATCCCCCCCTGGGAGGTGATTTCTCGCTTTCTGTCTCTATGTCTCTCTCTGTCTGTCTGGCGAGCGCATGCGCCCTATAGCGAAAAAAATCCTCTCCAAAAAGAAAAGTGAGGCAGTGAAGGAAAACGAGGATATGCCTAAGAGGGTTTGTGGTTGGTTTTGTGTTGTTTTGTTTGTTTTGAGAGATTTCTGTTATAGGGCATGTGTGTTTACCAGAGAGACAGAGAGGAAGTGAGAAATCAACCCTCCAGGGGAGATGGCCATGCCACCATCCCTTTCTATTCTCCTTTTGGGATGTTGGGGGTGCCCACACATGTGCCTGGTGTGAGTTTCAAGTCTCTGGGTCCAGGACTTGAATCGCAGTTGGCCATATGGGAGTCCAGCACCTCAACTACTCTGTCACTTCGTCCTGGGATTTTATACTGTAAAGTAGGTGCTCAGGGAAGGCCTCTTAGAGTACATCGTGTACATATGTGGGGAAAGGAGTCCATGCAGTGGAAACAGCATGTGTAAAGGCCCTGAGGCAGGAGCTTGGTGTGTTTTTGGAGCTGCATGGAATTTAGCAGCAAGTCCTCTTTCC